CTGGAGTTTGTCATTCAGGATATGGTTGTTGGAATCCAGATTTTTTATTGATTTGTATATTTCAAACTCCTCCAAGACGTCCATTTTATTTCCCTTTTGACAGTAATGTAGTATTTGCAGACCGGTGTTAATGTCATTCATATCGTGATTACAGTCAATAAGGTGCTGGGCAAATGTTGATTTTTGTGTGTCTGTTCTCGGGTCTGGGCGGTGTTCTTTATAGCGGGTTTTAAATGCTCGACCCGTTTGTCCAATGTAAAAGCTCGGGCATTCGGCACAATTTATTTTGTAAATTCCTGTTGAACTGGATCTATCGGTTTTGTTGTTATGGCTATTGTCCTTTAAGATATTATTTACTTTGTTACTTGTTCTAAAAGATAAGGTGATGTTGTTGTGTTTTAGATGTCTCTTGAGGTTGTACTGGATGTTTTCATTGAATTCAACACAGACATATTTTTTATCAGGTTGACGGGGTTTTGCTTCGTTTTTCCGTTTGAGCTGGTTGCCGATGAGTTTATCAATTAAACCATCTTGGTATCCATTTGAAGCGGCAATAAATTTGATAGTTTCCAATTCTATCTTGTAATTCTCAGAATTTAGAGGGATGTTTAACAATCTGTGAATCATACTATTGTAAGCAGCTATTTTTTGTGAGTAAGGGTGGTAGGAAGTTGCATGAATCGTTTGTGTTGAAGTAGTGGGTTTGCGATAGATGTTGTATGATAATTTTTTGTCTTCAGTTTTTTCTAATGTTAAATCTAAAAAGTTTATCTTGTTTGATTTTTCTACCTCAAGTGTGAATTTCAATTTAGGTGCGATGCCGTTCAAGTAGTTTTGGAGTAGTTCTAATTGCCTGGCATTGCCGTTGAACACTACTAGAGTGTCATCAACGTATCTGAAATAAGATACTATTTTCCCTTTATATTTATTTTGATCTGAAAATATGTATTCTTTTTCGATGTGATTTAAATAAAGGTCGGCTAGTATGCCTGATAACGGGGAACCCATTGCAAGGCCATCTGTTTGGGTATAAAATTTATCTTCAAAACAAAAATAGTTTTGGTTTAGTACTTCTTTTAGTAATATCATAACTTCTGTCACGGCTTCTGGTAACAAATTACTACCGTTCAGATGATTTTTTACAATAGCTAAAGTTTTCTCAATTGGGACGTTCGTGTAAAGGTTTACTACATCGAACGATGCTAATGTGTTGTGCATATTTACATTGATGTGTTTAGTTCTTTCAATCAGTTCATAGGAATTTTTAATACTATAATTGGTTTCAAGGCTAATATTTTGTTTTAGGATTTTTTCCATTTTTTTGCCAGTTTGTAGGTAGGTGCAGACGTGTAGTCGACCAATGGGCGGATGGGAGTGCCTTCCTTGTGGACTTTGGGCAGACCACGCAGGACAGGTGCACGTGGATTCATGCACTTTATCTGTCTCATCTCATCGGCCGTGAATATTATTTTACTTTCGTTAATCAATCTCTTGGTCCTTTTTTGATAAATCACTGTGGGGTCTTTGTTTAATAGTTTTATATCATTATCAACTAAAAAATTGTTTACTCTATTTACATAGTCATGTTTATACATTATCACAGACGAATTGCCTTTGTCAGCTTTACAAATTATTGCATTATTTGAAGAAAGTTTATCTTTAATTTTCTTTAGAACGAAACTATCATGTCTGTGAATGGGTGAAATGGGTTTAGAACTCCTAGATTTATGTTTATTTATAAGATTAACCATTGAAAGTCTGGTGATGTTTTGAGCTTCATCATCTGCGATTGCTCTAATAGCGCACTCTGCGTCAATTAAGCTATTAAAAACTTGATTTTTGTTCATCTTAGGTAGGTTGTGTTTTAGGCCTTTATCCAGCATACGCATTTCCTCCTCATCAAAACTTATTTCTGTTTTGTTAATTGTCCTAGGGTAAAAGTCAAAATTAAAAAGTACAATTTGTTCTTTAGGTTTCTGTGCATTTAATAAGTTGGTTATTTTCTTCTTTTGGACACTTCATGTTATGATGAAGTGTTTGACAATGGCAGCTCGCCGAAACATGTAACACACACGTTGACGAAAGTTACTTTTGGGACTGATAAAGGTATTGTAAAACCAGATATTTTATTTTCTTATCTTTAATCCGGTATGAGAATTATTCAGACGACGAAGATGACGTTTCCTTGACCGCGGGAGTAACTGATATCTAAACGACAGCAGGAGATGTTCATGAATTGTCCATGATCGCGAGAGACAAAGATGACGTTTCCTGGACCGCAGGGGTCAATGACGTCTACACAGCTGTGGGAAATGTTCATCATTTTGTCGCGATTGTGGTCGATGACGATGACGTTTCCGCGACCGCAGGAGTCAATGATGATGTCTACACGGCCACGGGTGATGTTAAATGATTTTGCCATGAACGCAAGACGAGGATGATGTTTCCATGACCGCCAGTGTTGATGATATCCACACGGCGGCGGGAGATGTTCTTGATTTTTCCACGACTGCAAAAGACAATGTTGATGTTTCCGTAGTTGAGGAAGATGTTTTGGATTTTTCAGTGATCAGAGAAGACAAGGAGACCTTGAGTTTGGCTTGACTGAAAATGTCAGGCTAGCACACCTCTATAATATCAATTTCTATTTGATTTTTGTTGTTAGATCTTCATTTATCTTTAATATGGTAGTTTTTTATGTGTTTAGAAGGGGTTTAATAAATTGCATAGTACAGTCTCCAAATGTAGCTGTTCAAAATACTTAATGACGGCAAACTTAAATAGGCTAGTTGGAATTTATCATTGCTGCATACATTTTTTCATTACTTGAAAACACCCCATAACCTCAAAAATACTTAATAGAAAGACACAAAGACAGGGGGGTTGGTGTAGTGTAACTAATCTATTCGTAAAATTTGGTAAATCAATAAAAAAATGGTTTCGGTATGGAGAATAGATTTCTCAGGTATCGGTATCGAGAATCAATAAATTTTGGTATCAACACATCACTAGAAGAAACTGTTAAATCTAATAGAGGGTGAATAAATGGTAGCCGGTCAGATGTATAGAAGTCTACACATTAAAAAGATAACGAAAATTTATAAATAAAAATACTTTTTAAAAATATCACGTTTTTAAACGCACTAAAAAGTATACAATAATTTATAAAATGTTGAGAGAATAAATACTTCTAAAATTTAAAACGGAAAACGTGGGGCGCATGCTGATTTAAAATTAACTTCACCTATTGAACTATTATGATCAATTGCATGCGCCCCACGTTTTTCGTTTTAAATTTTACAAGTATTTATTCTCTCAACATTTAATAAATTATTGTATACTTTTTAGTGTGTTTAAAAACTTGTTATTTTTAAAAAGTATTTTTATTTATAAATTATTATCCTGTTTTTAGTCTTTAATGTGTAAATACAGGGAGCGGCAGAAATATCTGACGGTTTTCAAGCAAGTACAGTCCGGCAGCCGTGTGGAGGGGGGTGGTGGGGAGCGGCTCATTCTCAAGGCCAAGTGACCCCATTTCAGTCGCCATGGAGCATTGGAGCAGTGGACCATTATACATTGCGCGTATGTCGTTGAGGCGTATTTTAAAAATGGCGATTCTGTTGTTGATACGCAACTGTGATCTAAAGGTATCCACCCACAATTTGATGGTGTTTCGGGATCGGATAGGTTCCCCACGAGCCACATTGAAATGCCTACGAAACTTACGTTGCGTATCAACAACAGAATCGCCATTTTTAAAATACGCCTCAACGACATACGCGCAATGTATAATGGTCCACTGCTCCAATGCTCCATGGCGACTGAAATGGGGTCACTTGGCCTTGAGAATGAGCCGCTCCCCACCAACCCCCTCCACACGGCTGCCGGACTGTACTCGCTTGAAAACCGTCAGATATTTCTGCCGCTCCCTGTATGTTAAATCTATTTTATATAGCCTCTTAATGCATAACCAAAACCCAAAACCTTATTATCTGTAATCAGATGTTTTATCTTTACTTTGAAATGATTGTTTTATATTTTTAGAATATCTCGGGAGCAGAACCTGTACCTCTTAACCTCTGCTCTTCTAACTGTCAAATTTAAGTATTTACAGCTGACTTAAATTAATTTATATGTTTACATTCTTTTAAAATGTAAACATGGAAAACTTGGAAGCCAAAGGGGCGTAGCCCAAGGGAAATATGAAAATTAAATTATATAATATTGCATTGTCATCCATTTGTGAGCTATGTTTCAAGTTACAAGTCTCTAGCTCATCGGAAACTTCGTTTAAAATTGATATCAAAATTTGTAGGAAAGCGAGCTAATAAAAACAAGCCCTTGGGACGTAGTCCAAGGGAAATATGAAAATTAAATGATATAATATTGCATTGTCATCCATTTATGAGCTATTTTTCAAATTTTGAGTCTCTAGCTCATCGGGAAGTATCAAAATTTCCAAGAAAGCGATTTAATAAAAACAAGCCCATGGGGCGTAGCCCAAGGGAAATATGAAAATTAAATTATATAACATTGCATTGTCTTCCATTTGTGAGCCATGTTTCAAGTTTCAAGTCTCTAGCTCGTCGGGAAGTTAGTATAAAATTTATTTCAAAATTTGTACCGGACAAGAAAGCGAGCTAATAAAAACGTTTTAAAAATCAATGTAATGGTAATATTGGTTACCACTTTGGATAGAGAAGAGATATTGTGAACTCTGGTTTTCACCATTCTTAAGGTTTTTTTAAACACCTCAAAATGAGGTATCACTTTAAGGGGGTTATCATTTAAAAAAATTTTAGTTGCCCCCGAAATCTCAAAATTTTTTTTGGGCCACCCAAAAGTTTCAAAATCATAAAATGAAACTTCCTGCTACGGTTGCACGACAACCAAAAGGATATATCTTTGTCTGTATATTTACTTAGCAATACTTTTTATTCACCGTGTATGTATTGAGAGAACAATATTAGTTATGGCAATTAATCCAACTTTTACTATATTTAAAAATTAAATTTGATATTTTGTCATCACAAATAAAATAACATTGGATACAAAGTTAGTATAGAGAACCACTGAAGTGATTTTTCTTAATTTTATGTAATATTTTTCTTTTAAAATTTCAATTTAGTTATATTCAGATCAAGACATAAATATAAACAATTTAATCGTCTTCATCTTCCTCTTCCTCCTCATCTTCTTCCCCCTCTTCGTCCTCCTCTTCTTCTTCTCCTTCTTTTGGTGGAGGTTTCTTTTTGTGTGCTTCTCTCCAAGCTTGTTCAACCTGTGAACATAAATAGGTATCATAAACAGGCCTATTTGTATAGTATAAGCTGACTTGCCTAATGCACGGAGTGCAAAATTTGTAATTTTACAATAGTGTTTTTATTAGTTTGCTAAAGAACAAAACAAATCACAGTCAGAATCTTTAAATCAGAATCTCCAAATAGCGCAAAAACTTCTTTTCAGAGAGTTTAATCTCAAAAATATTGGAAGTAATGGAAATGTGCCAAAGCCATTTGCAGCCCAGGGCTAAAAGATTATTTCAAGATATAGGTAGTTTCTTTATATCCTGCCGTCACATGCTAGGATTTACATTTACACTTTAGGATTTAAACTTCAGGATAGACCCAGAAGATTGTGGAAACATCCCAGACAGCACACTTTCTCCTCAGGACATCCCACGGATATTGCGACAGGATATGCAAGATATCCCATAGTGGTCCTATAGTCAACCTGGGATATCTCAGGATATCCACAGGAATGCCTAATGTCCCCGCCCGGGGATGCCCTACGGATAAGCTCACACGCATATCCGTGGGACATCCGAGGTCATCCCAGGGTAGTCCTCAGGACATTCTCAGGACATACGGGACTACTGTGGGATGTCCCTGGGATAAAGTGTGGTCTGGGCCTGAACATAAAAAACACAAAATAATATAGATTTAGTATGAAAAGCTTAATTATAAGTTTAGTAAATTGATTAAATAGTTAATAAACACAAATTTTGAAGAAAAAAACGAGAAAAAAGTTTTTGGTCCAGACGGGTCTCGAACCTGGTACCTTCGCATTATGAGCCCCTTGCCTTACCTCCTGAGCTATCTGCGCTTGATGATTATGGGTGTTTTCAAGTGGTGAAAGAGTAGCCGACAGTTGCAATGGTCGCAATACTTAAAATATTTTTGATACTACAGTATAGGCTATATATATATATATATATATATATATGATTCTGTTTATCTGTTTAGGCCTCAAGTAGTTGAATTGTTTTTCTGGTAGTTGGAGAGGATACTGGTATTTGAATATAGATTATTTAATCACCATTAGATTACCACTGTTAATACTGTTATAATTGATTGTTATATGATTAAAATTAGTTTTTGGTTGTTTTATTAATTTAAAGTTAGAATTAAATTCACATTTTATACAACTATGATAGAACTCTAGTTTTCCTGAACTCAGTGGTAGTATATGTCAGTAAAGTAAAGTCAACCCTTGCTAGCCATAGTATTAACAAGACATATTTTCAATCTGGGAAACCTTAAACTTTTAAAATAAATTATTAAAAAATAAATTTAATTAGTTAATTAATTAAATTAATAAAATTTAAAATAAAAACCTCAACATCTTAATGCGTGGGAATCTTATTTTTAGAAAAAACAAACAGACCAAAATTATTTGTTAAATAATGAAGACGGCCCAATTATAAATTCGGAATTACTGAAAATAATTACATCAAGAACAACACTGTAACATATCCAAAATTCAAAAGATAAATTTTTCTAATATTATTTTTTATTTTTCCAATATCCTTTAAATCATCTGTTTTAACTTTATTTAAAATTAATTTATTAAGTAAATATTTACTTTTTGTACTAGTGTAAACACAGCCTGAAGATGGAAACCAAGTTTCTGAAAGCACTAGTCAAAAAAACAAATTATTATATATTGTCCTTGTTGAACATTTAAATTTAGATATACATTTCATCAGTGGTAGTCTTTTTTTTCTTCAGTTTGTTACCGGGACATTACGGAACATTACAGGATATCCAGTGGATTTTGTACATGCCCCGGGATGTCATGGGACATTCTGGGATATCCTATGGCATTCGTACATATCCCGGGACTTTACAGGATATCCTGAGGTTAACTTACAAATCCCGGGACATTACGGTATATTGTAGGATATCATGTGGATTTCGTACTCGTCCCGGGATTTTGCGGGATATCCTGAGGATAGCGTACATATCCCGAGACATTCTCAGGACGTATGGGACTACTATGGGATGTCCCTGGGATAAAGTGTGCTGTCTGGGATCATATAGCTAATTTCATTAGTGATTGACACATTATATGTGTTTTTAACATACAGTAATTTTTGTCTTTTTTCCCCCTTATTCACCGTTCCTACCTTGTATACCAGTGTTCCTAATTTCTCTATACCTTTATTATTTATTTCCAGGTTCCTTCCGTAATTGCTTGCATTTCCTGTTTGTTTGTTTAACTACTAAACTAACCTAACTTATGCTAGCCCTTTTTCCTCCGCAACCGCTTGATTAGCGGGGGACCCAAGGAGCCGAGGTCCACTGGTCGTTTTAGATTAGCCTTGCCTTACTCTTAGTGTCTTGTCAGGTATGTCATATTCGGTGATTTGTATTATTTTGAGGGATTTGGTTTTCTTGTGCTAATGCTCTCTATATTTCTTTCTTTCTCTATTTTGTGATTCGGACAATTTTGATACTTCTCAATTTGGAATGTTTGGATTTGTTTCGTAGTGTTGCTGTCCCATTTATGTGTTTTCCCAACCAACTTTGTCTTCATAGTGGTTGTAGTCATAGTCTCTCGTCTGTTTGCTCATCGTGTATCAGATCAGTCTTTTTGTATCTCTATCTAGCTCCGTCTTTTCTACCACTGCCCCCTTGAATCCTACCTTCCAGGCCTTCTGCTTGTACATGGGCTCACTTGCTGGGGTGAGCCAACGAGTGGCGTCCCCATGTCCCATTGTACAGTGTTTTTTTTTGTTTTTTTTTTATCACGGGCCTGCTAATCCCGGGTTCTGCTCTGTGGCGAATTTGGCTGGTCCTGATGTAAAATGGCCCTTCTGGCACATGTTTGACAGTGCACTTCTTTCAGCCCAGGCGCATATTGAGCTGTACGGCAAGGTCAGGGCAGTGCAGCACAGCACAGGACAGTATCGAGTAAAAAGTCTGCGTTGCACAGTTGGCATCGCAATTTGGGAAGTAGTGTTGTACAGTTTCTTGTGTGAGCATGTTTGTTAAATATTAGGATTTAAATCCTCCATGCCCTGTAAGAATCTGTATGACTGCATGATCTAGATCTTCTAAATGCTTCAATTCTTGTCATCCTTGGATCGATGGCAAAAGTCCATAAGTGTGTCTACCAGTTTTGGCACTGTCCCATTCTTCTTGCCAGATTCTAAAAGAGCTGTCCTTTATCTCCTTCTTCGTTTCTTGGCTTTCACCCCTTTTTCTTTGACTGAGTTCATTTATTTCTCTCAGTTTGATGTGAATCGGCATGTTGTTAGGTATGACACATAGCGCTTGTAATGGGGAAGTTTTATAAGCAAGTGCTAAAGAGCACTTTGCCTTTGGGTCTCCTTCATGTTCTTACTTACAGAGCAGTTTGGTATCCTGTGCTGTCAGGCCTGAACTGCGTATCCAAATATTGGGATGAAGATGGTTTTGTATAGAAAGTTCAGACTTACTGCACTAGCACCATGTCTAAGTTTCATGGTACGGGAGATTTTCCCAAACAAGGTTCTTGCTTTAATTCCTTGGTTTTTGATGTGTGGTATGAAAGTTAAGCCTGAATCAAGCGGCACTCCAAGATATTTCACTTCCTTTGCATTGGCTATTCTTGTGTCCCCTGTACTTGATAACAGGTGGCCTGGCAGACATTTTTCTTTTGAGGATTATGATGTTTGACATGCCTGTTGATATTTGCATTTTGGTATCTGTTGTCCATTCCATAAGAATTTCCATAACAGCGTTCCCTTTAGTTTTTTCTTTTCTTGAGTTTGCTGGGACGACGAAGGCCACATCGTCAGCAAAGGCAATGGGCTGGACATTTTCAGGATACTGCTTGTGAAGCAGGACATCAAAAGTTATGTTCCACATTAGTAGTCCTAGAACTGACCCTTGTAGACATCCCTTGGTCATAGATCATCTTCAAGGCGTGATCTTCTTACTATGTCGGTTTCATTCTTAATGGACACCCATCTGTCCGACAGGTAGGACTCCAGCACTCCAAATATTGTTTTGGAAACTCCTAGCCTGTTCAGATTTGCCAGAACTTCAGGCCACCATAGGGCATCAAATGCATCTTTAATGTTGATCAAGATGGCCATCACATAAGTGTTTTCCAAAGTTTGGGTGAGTGCTGTTAATTTTTCTATAGAGGATGTGGACATGTCTGATCTGAATCCATATTGGAAATTACTTATTGGTGAGTTTTCTTCAAACTGAGTGGAGATCCTCTCCTTAATTAGCCTTTCAAGAATCTTACCTGCTATAGGTAGAAGGCTGATAGGTTGGTATGATGATAGGCCCAATCTCTATCTCATGCCTTTTTTATAGTCTTGACCTTAGCTTCTTCCCACACTATCGGAAAGTATTTTAGTTTGAGGCAGTTTCATAGGTTTGGCATAGTTGAGTGGTTTTCCAGGTCCAGATTAGCAAAAACTTCAGGTGATACATCATCAGGTCCTGCTGCTTTCTTTATTTTTGTATTTCTTAAAGCATCTTCCAGTTCATGTATGGTAAATGGTGGTTCCAGATTGTTTGATGTTGCACGTAGGTTATTAATATACATATATATTCATAGGCTAGCCTTATATATAATATGTGAAGGCAATTTCCATGAAACACTACTCCTCCGTTAATAATAGACCGATTTTTACAAACGATGTGCCAAAATTAAGTATTTTTTGTGTAGAATATGGCCCCACAGGCCATTAAAATCCCAATGTATTTGTTAAGAAGAAAAGATTTTGTTTAATTAAAAAGACGAATAAATTGTATTAATTGCAGACTAAAACAGCTGTTCATATTAAACACACAAGAGCGTTCGTTTTCAGATTGAGTTCGTTTTCAGTTTCAATAACTGGAGTGGAGTGATTGATTATATTTATCTTTGAGTTGATTCTTTTAAATTATCGGAAATTATGACTGTTATTCGTTTTGAAACAACGCCTGTAATACTTTGCAATTACTTGAAGTTGAGCATCAGGTGCACTAGTTATATACAGGGTGAGTCTTCTAAGCTGTCGTAAACAGATTACAGACGAACGGCTTGACATACAGAGATGAAACAAAACTTTTCCCCGCTAATTCATACCCAAGGAACAACGTAAAAATGTTTTTACCATTTTAAAAATACAGGGTGTTCAAGAAACTGGGGGTCATGGGTTCGAATCTCAGAGTTTTCAAATGTAAACATATGTCATGTTATGCATATTTTTAAAGCTCTAGACTAGACAAACAATTTAGTGAAAACAGAACTCATTTATCTTTGTCCGTTTCAAAACGGCGGCCATTTTTATAGAAAATATTGATACTTAAAGAATATCATGTAGGTATCTTGAAAACCACTAAACTTATTTTCGTTCTGTTTGAAAAATCTTAATCCTCGTAGGTTCAGCTTTAATTTGATATACGACAAGTCAACATTTTCAAAACTAAATATTTTTTCTACGATTTTAATTTTTTTTGAAGTTGGTAGCCTTGTAAATGAACATTTTTAATGGCATTGTGTATAATTTTGAAGGTCTTGTAAAAACAAACAACTTTTAAATTTAAACCTACCGTCTATCTTTGGTCGTTTTATAGTAATTAACCAAAAACTCCAATTGCCCATATGAAACTCATGTTAAACGCGCAGTACCAAGGGAATAGTGTATCTGCATCTACTAATCTTCAGTAATGCACGTTTAACATGGGTTTTATATGGGCAATTGAAGTTTTTGGTTAATTACTAGAAAACGACCAAAGATAGACGGTAGGTTTAAATTTAAAAGTTGTTTTGTTTTTACAAGAGCTTCAAAACTATACACAATTTTACATATGTTGCCATTTAAAAATTTTCATTTACAAGGCTACCAACTTCAAAAAAAATTAAAATCATAGAAAAAATTATTAGTTTTTAAAATGTTGACTTGTCGTATATCAAATTAAATCTGAACCTACGAGGATTAAGAATTTTCAAACAGAACGAAAATAAGTTTAGTGGTTTTCAAGATACAGGGTATTCTGTAAGTATCAATATTTTCTATAAAAATGGCTGCCATTTTGAAACGGACAAAGATAAATGAGTTCTGTTTTCACTAAATTGTTTGTCTAGTCTAGAGCTTTAAAAATATGCATAACATGACATATGTTTACATTTGAAAACTCTGAGATTTGAACCCATTACCTCCAGTTTCTTGAACACCCTGTATTTTAAAAATTGTAAAAATATTTTTACGTTGTTCCTTGGGTATGAATTAGCGGGGAAAAGTTTTGTTTCATCTCTGTATGTCAAGCCGTTCGTCTGTAATCTGTTTAGGATAGCTTAGAAGACTCACCCTGTATATATATTATGTAGGTTATTGACTCTTGTTATTCTATGGGGTTCTGTCTCGTCCTCTGTATCAGGAGGGACCAAAGTCTCTAGTAGAAGCTGTATAGTTTCTATTGCTGTGTCTGTATGCTGTCCGTTGACTCTTAGAGATGTGAGAACTTCATTTTTCCTGATCTTTTCTGCTGCCAGCTTGTAAGGCAGACTACATGGGTTTTCATTTCGTGGGAAATTTCCCTGACAAAGTTTTAACAACTTTGATTCTTTGCTATTTTAATTTATTTTTTATATTCTTGACATTTTTGTCTGAAGTAAAACATACAGTACTGAAGCAACTGAGAAAAAAATTTTACTCTTACAGAGGTAAACACCGTTGTTTATTTTTGTGGACACAAACAACTTTTGCCAATTAATATTAATACTAAGTTATTTACTACAATATAAAAGCAAAATTATAAAATTTTAAACTCAATTTCTCAATAACTTATTGTATGAATTTTGTTCCAATTAATAAAACATAGGATCTTTTTGAAGACAATTTTAGGAAGTACTTTGGAGGAATTCCAGAAACGGACCTTGCATTCTTCGTACTCAAATCAAAACAATAAAAGTTGGATAAAGAAATTCGTTTTTTTTTTAACAAAGCCTATGTTATATGTAGAATGCGAATCATTTGTTATTAAACAAGACATGTTTTTTAAGGAACATTAATACCAACTCACAGGTTTCAAATAACTTTCAATTTACTCTAATATTACTATTATTATTATTAACACGTTCGCTGCTGACCGCTAGATGCCGGGACGGCACCAGGAGCTGAACTAACGCTCGTCGCTGCGTAAATATTGCTGCCGATACACTGAATTACATTTAAAACAACAGTACTGGATGGCAATGTTCTGCAATAAAACTGGCTTTGGACATAGTATTAAGTGATTCTGATAGATAGCAGCACTACCCAGGTTGCAGTCAGTAAAGTAGTTTCGCTATCTAGCACAAAAGAGGTGGGAGGAGCCCTGTTCTAAACGACCCTAGTGGCGATTTTGGGAAACTATAATTTTTATTGTCAGAAAAGTACGTCCCCACGAGCTGCAAAGAAATATAGGACGCTCGTGACGAGCTGGCTGATCCATGGTAACATTGAACAACAATGAACGGCGACGTTCCGGAATGTTCCTAGCTCCTGGCGCCGTGGCCCATTTTACGTTCCGGAATGTCCGTAGCAGCGTGTTAAGTAAAAAATGGGTATTTATATCCGAGTATGTATTCATCACAAAAAAATGATAGATAAAAATATCGCTAACCAGGGCTCTTTTTGTTTATATTGAATTTACCTCAACAGTGGGGTCCTGTATTTCCAGAACTTCAGGTCCTAGATCATACTCGTACTCTGGATGAGGAAGACTTGCTGGAGAGAATCCACTCAGATTCAGCTTATGACCCCAGCCACAGTAAACATTGTCACACCTCCTGCACAACAGTGCATGGTCAAACTACACTCCCAACACCATCAACTAAATTTCTTTCTAAGGGTGTAGCATAGAGCACAAGGGCCTAGATTTTTTAGGATTTTTTGAGAGGATAGCAGGCTTACCTGAATGGGAAAGAGTCCAAACTGGCACAGGAAACACAAAACAAAACTTTACACTATAATATATAATAGTGTATAATAATATATAATTACACTATATAATTACACTATATAACACACTACACTACATACACACTACACTACACACTATATAATTATATATATAATTACACTATAATATATAATAACTTTACACTATTATTATAACTTTACACTATAATAATAGTGTAAAGTTTTGTTTTGTGTTTCCTGTGCCAGTTTGGACTCTTTCCCATTCAGGTAAGCCTGCTATCCTCTCAAAAAATCCTAAATTTCTTTCTAATAATGGAAATCCTGGTGTTGATGCACAACGCTGAATGACACTACTTTGAAAAGCATTTTTGGTCTTAGTCTTCCCGAGATAGCTTTCTACACCTGTTAACTTAATGTGGATTCAAAAGATTTCATGACATCTGCATTGTCTTTGTGTATGAACCTTGTATGAACAGGGGTGCCCAGAGGGGGGTACTGTGGCGCGTTTGCGCCACAGGAATTTTTGGGGGGGACTATTTTTAAGGGATTTTGGGGGGGATATTTAATTTTTGCTAGCTGTCATAATGGCTGTATAGTTTTGTACAAGCAGTCCGAAAAAGTGTTTCTCACTAAAAGTAGCTCACTATCAACACCAACATTTTGCCGTTCGTAATTAAGATTGCTTCTAAGAATGGTAAAGCACCTTGTCAGACAACCCTTAACATACCAGTGTAGAATTTTACATGCTACATATGTTTTGTTGGTTCTTTAACTCCACCATAGTCAGGATTTACAAAAGATCCCCTTCTGGAGGTGTCGTCAGTATACGTTACAAACATTTAACACAAAACACGAAACGATTACAGATAGGCTTATCAATTCACGCGCGTACATTGCCGTCGGCAAGACTGGAAGTAAACTGTAACTGAATCGGGTTCGGTTCAGGTTATGACGGACCGACGTGGTCTCTGAATTGTCGTCTGCGTTTTCAACAGCTTATATTGGACTATTGTTATAGTGACTGAGAAGAGTATTGAAAATATAATGGCTTTCATAATTAATTGAGTGTTTTCACTCAAAAATGTTGTGCTGTCCCCAATTGTATGTATTCATATATTTTAAACTCCTCAAAGTATTTAAAAATTTCCTTTCGTGCAGTACTGTAGAATTTCGAGACCATCATTTATATCCAGCATATAAATTTGTTATTGTTGTCAATAGTTTTGAATGGAAAACTCAATTATGAATCCCGTTATATTTTCAACATACTCCGTCACTACAATTAGTCCAATATCAGCTTTTGATAACGCAGACGACAATCCAGAGACCACGTCTTTCCGTCATAACCTGATTCAGTTTACTTCCAGTCCTTCCCGCGGCAATATACACGCGTGGATTGATAGGCCTATCTGTTATCGTTTCGTGTTTTGTGTACAAACGGATTGTCTGACAAAATACGTTCCTACCATTTTAGTCATAAAAGGCAATCCTGGGGCTATCAAAATGAATTATAAGATTACTTCGTCACAAAAACCTTTTGTTCTGGTAACATGGTATTTTGCCCGGCGATTTTTGTAGAAGGCAGCCTGGAAGTGGCGAGCAACAAGTCTGACTTATTTCGTGACTCTGCCTATAATTTTGAAACAATTAAGATACTTTTTGCCAAAGTATTATTAATACACTTAAAGCTGTTTGAATTCTTAATACCCTCTAAACATTAAATCCACCTAACATATTGTACAGTTACAGAGTACTGTGTTGGAGTAGAGTAATTCACCGAGTATAGGCCTATTGTTGAACGTGTTGAAGACGTTGTCTATAGCAATACTGAGCACATGTTGGCTGACAATACAAATTCGGCATTTTGTAAATTGAAAAACTTCTAATTCAACCATTACTTAGATATGTATTGTTAAATGACGTTTCCTATTAAACATTTAATTTTGATTCTCAATCAGCAAGTTTGTTTTTTGTACCTCAAGTTTACTAAATACTTTAAATACTCGTTTTATGAGGTAAAGGGAAATTGTCAGATAAATTGGTGGGGGGAGGGTAGGTTTAAATAGACGACAACATAAATTGGGGGGACTACTCCTTTGGCTTGGGGGGGGGGGATTGCGCCTCTGGGTTTAGGGGGGATGGGCACCTCTGTGTATGAATTAGATTTTGGGTAGGAAAGTGAATAAGTTGATGGGAGGGGCCTGACAAAATCTCGCCCAGGGTGGCAACGATGCTGTTTATATTACTGTTCTCATGCAGTCATGAGATATAGAAATTAGAAATTAACGTAGCCATTCTAAATATAGCGCCTAACAATCTACAAGATATTTTACAACCGGTTTACCATATGAAGATATTTGAGCTGTTTCAACTGGAGAAGTAAACTTTACCTGACACAACATTCCCTTATACACACACTCACTACCAGATTGTGGTAGACCATTGTATCACAGGAGTGTGATGGCTGGTGGAGAACGTTTACAAAAATACTTGTATAACAAAATGCAAATTAATATTGTCTAACAATTCTAGACTAAGATATATTATGACATTTTTATGATTTCAACCTAATAACTCTCTTATAAAAAGAGTTTCTTTTCCTTTTTAGTTCAAATTAATTCAATATGTGCATTGATTGTGATGATATCTGTACACTTACTTTCCTACAGCAACAGCAGCTGCACCGGGCCACCTTGTAGACCTGACCACTGCCCCAGCCATGTTAGGATTGTAGCTACGTGTCCTACGCACTGTCCACGCTGGTAGACTGTCCACTGGTGTGTCCTCAGATAGTGGTGTTAGCAACGCAGGTCCTGTCTCCTTCTCCTCTCCACCTTCTTTATCCTCATCTTCTTCTTCCTCCTGTTCCTCTTCTGCTTCTTCCTGTCAACGAAAACAAATAGGTATATAAAAAAAAATCCATCAAAACTTTGATTCAAGTACCAATCATAGTTTTTTTTTTTTTTTTTTTTTTTTTATTCGGTTGGGTATCTTAGCTCACCTCTCCGACAATTGTTTTTTTGGTACTCCACCAATCCACTCGTCCCTGCTTCAAAATATATCTTGAATGATGAACCCAGGACGTCAGACTAGGGTCGGTAAGCTCCTTTACTGGTATCGGCTGGTATTTCTTGTTTTGTTCAATATTTTTTTGATTACCTGGAATGTTATTAGTTTATTTATAACTCTTGCTTCCAATTTCTGTTCTTACCTTTTTTAAACGTACCTACATAACAATTTGTCATAGATTAACTGAGTCACTTACTCTGTTTTTTATGCTGCAGTACCAGGAGGACCCAGCAATAAAATCAACAGTGCCGCCGGTTTACTATTACATGCCAATTCCAGTTATAAGGATAGCATCTCACTGTCCTCCAGTCATAAATTAAAAACCTAATCAGCTGTTATATTTATTTCTTTTCTGCTGATTTTTACGATTTTCAGTGTGTGTTATGTTGTTGCCAAAGTAGTAACCCATATGGCTCACTGTTAAAAATGACTTTCGATTTCATTTTTTTACGTTATGTTATAAGATTTACGTTGGCAGTTTTAACTGCATGAAATAAATTATTTACAACATTTGAGGGGAGTTGTCGGAGCCATTTTTGAGATATTTGTGCAAGCATACATACAAGCAAGCATTGCTCATATAAGAGTATAGGATATTTATGCTAACTTTTGCTGTATTTTTTCTTGTATCTCAATAAATCTACATATAATCATAGACAAATAGAATAAGACTGTCAAAGGAAGGTTTTGCGATGTGCCGCTAGAGTGTACTCGGTGTTCATTCGCTGTTCGATTCGCTGCTGTCGTTTGCTCCTCGCTGTATGCTACCAGCAGACGCTTCAGCGGTGTGCACCGTAACTACACGGCACTCCTAGTGGTGGACGCTAGAACATATGCTAACCGCAGCTCTTCTGTCGATCTATATTTAATTTTTGTTGTCTATGCCATAATGAATTAATATTGTCTCCTGAAATTCGTTCCAACAGAAATTAGAGAGAACTGTGCTTTATAATTATGGCATTTCAGCTATGAGATTTATAGGTTTATATGTAGGCCTACTGTTAACATTTATCATTCACTTAATTAATTCATTTATAGGATCTAACCAATCCGTGTAGGTACAGTGTCCTAAGGTTATTTTCCTCATATCAACTAACTAATCAAAACATGCTCTTTTGAACCTTATCATTCTTTCTTTACCTTACCTTTCCATAACTTACATTACTAATGTAATAGCATTACCTTCTTCTTCCTCCTCTTCAGCCAATTCTTCTTCTTCCTCGTCTTCTTCTCCCCCAGAAAATTTATAAAAGCCAACAGGAGAAACATGTGTTGCAGCTGATATCCTAGCGATCTGAGCTCGTAAATAGTGCTTCTCTTGTCCAGGGAATGCTGGGTATGTCACTATCTGTAACATACTTCCATCAAGTGTGTGCATTTTGATATATATTTTTTAGCTATCCATAAGTTTGAATTGTGATCTTAAAATGTTCACTCACTATTGGAAAGGGTTTACTAAAAATATTTATAGAATAAAGCACTTCCCTAGTAGCACAAATATGTATTTTATAAATATTTTATATATTTAAAGTTGTATTTGATAGAACCTCGAATAAAATATATAAATAATATATCTTTAATAATAGTTTGATATATTCAAATATATATTTAAAATATTACCAAAAAGCAATGCAAAATATAAATTAAATATAAGTTTTGAATATATAAAATAGATTCATAATATATATTGATCAAATAAGTATAGAATCTATAATATACACATTTTATATGCATATTTTTTCTATTAAATATTTAAAAAAATTATGTGTTGAGAATATTTTAAATATATATATAAAATATTTTTGAAACTATATTATATATTTAAAGTATTTATAAATATATTTTGAAACACGTCAGATATTTTTATTAATAAAATAATAACATATTTGTAGAATAATGGCTATAGCCTATAATCTTTTATAATTAGCAAATAAATAATTTGCATCTTTTTGTTTTTTATAGTGTCTATCAATTTATACATGCATTTTTTGTATGATAATTGCTATTGTGAAAGCGTTAAAATTAAGTTAATAATAATACGTACTCTGAATGGTGTCACTCTATCATGCACGTAAAGAAAAAATTACGCATATGGTTAAGAGGCAGTATACATGTTCGGCAGCTACATTTGGGTCAAACGAAAAAAAGTGTTGATGGGTTTTATTTTTTAAATTGCAATATGTGACAATGAATGTGATCATAGAAATCTCGAATGATTGGCTAGAAAAGGGTGCTAGCGACTGGCGACCTTTTAAGAAACGAATTACGGAAAAAAAGATTAACAGAATCATATTATACTGTAGTTTCAAAAATTTTTCAAGTATTGCAACCATTGCAACTGACGGCCGCTCTTTCACCATTTGAAAACTAATGCTAGCAACAGTCACAAGTAGCTCAGAGGTAAGGTAAGAGGCTCATAAGTCGAAGGACCCAGGTTCGAGACCCACCCGGGCAAAAAAATTTTATCCAGTAATTTTTTCAAAATTTGTTTTTATGAACTATTTAATCAATTTACTCAACTGACAATTGTGCTCTTCATACTAAATCTTCATTATTTTATGTTTAGGCCCCATGGGATGTTTGGAAGAGATATTAAATACATTTTTTATTTAAATATTATTCACTAAAATATATTTTTGGAACAAATTTTTTTAATATTTAATAGATTCAAAAACATATTTTTTATATATATAATATATTTTAAATATTATATAAAATTGACATTAATACACACTTGAGATATATCAAATAGATTTTAAATATATTTATTCATATGTATTTAATATATATTTGTGCTACTAGGGTTGATAAACTTGGATGCTAGTAATAATAAAAATATTTACCTTTGATTCTAGGTTTCCTGTGAAATATGCTTTGATCTGTTGAGCTACATTGATTTGTTCTGGAGTAACTTTTGGAAGTTCTGTCCATTCAAGCTCTGGTGTGTTGCATACGTAATAAATCTGGAAAAGTAGCATTAAGGTAACGAAGACAAAGTCTATTTGGATTTATCTTTTTTTCAAATCTGTCCCTAAGTCAAATAAAGATACACTACATTATTTGTCCATACTTTTCGGGAGGTACATGTATTCACAACGAATGTTATTCGTCTGTTCCCAAATATAGGTATTTGTTTTGTCAAGTAAAACATCCCCCCATTAAAATTATTATAGTAAAATCTAAGATTTCAACTTCATTTGAACTAAACCGCTGTAATTATCTATATCAGAATGTTCTTTAAGTTCTAATAAATTGCCTGTTCCCTGAATTTCAAATATTTCAGCAATTATTCATTACAGAATGTTTCCTAGCTGATATTTTACATAGATGTTTAATAAGCAGAAGTACTGTTTATAGTGTACATTAACTGAATTAAGAATAAATAGAACTGTATTTTCAAAAATTAGGTATAAATTTTTATGATTTGGTAAGTAGCTCAGCTGTGACATGTTTTAGTAACAGTTGCTTACTTTCTTATTTATTCCCTCTCCAAGTCTTTCAGCTGGTATCTTGATTGTTTCTTTTATCACTGGCTGCAGTAAGGGAGGGATTTTATAAGATAGAAGTTTTCTTGGGGGTGGTAGTGGAGGTAAGAGAGGGTCTTCTTCCTCCTCTAATCCCTCCTGGGCCAGAGATTCTCCGCTTTTCTCCTCTTTGATATATATTTTCTGCATGTAATGTTTTGAATCTATACTCTCTTGCTTTTCTGCACTTCTAAGAGATTCAATTGCCGAGGTTACTGATTCTTTTACTCCTCCATCATCTACAGTGCTTGATCTTAGAGTGTCTTCTTTTCCTGTTTCGTCTTCATTGTCATCCTCATTGTCCTGTTCGGCTTGGTCTTTACTCTCAGTTTCAGTTGTATCTTCTGAGTCATCTAGCTGTACAAATAAATACAAATAATTAATTCCTTTAGTTATCCAAAGTAAGTTCTTGAGTTATTTATAGAAAGACAAATATATCAAAGTTTATTTATACAGGGTTGGATATATGAGATGGAAGACAGCATGACCTCTCACACCAAGGCCCCGTCCTAGCTGGACGGCAAGAGCGGCGCGACCGACAACAGCGAGTGTCCTAGCTGAGCAGCAACAGCGGCGCCGCTCTTGTCGGTTGCGCTATACCGGCGACGTGACGGATGAACACCCAAAACAGCTGCCTCATTCCATGACGCGTCGCCTTGTCGCGCCGCTTTGTGTGGACACACATTTTGCCGCCAGTAGCGGCAAACGGTCACGTCGGTCGTGTCGCTCTTGCCGTCCAGCTAGGACGGGGCCTAAAAAGATTTTTTTATCAGCAAAAACAAATTGATGAAAATCATTAACAAAATATGATTTTTATATTGTGTAAGTGGATCAATATACAATATAAAATGAACAAGGGAAGGGATGCTAAAAAGAAAAGTGAGGAGGGTTCATTTTACTTGGTCACTAAATTCTTAGATATCAAGCCACCAACAATAATTTTAATATTAGCATTAAATATAATACTTAATAATTTTACTGTTGTGTATTTATTGAAATTTTATATCCAATACTACTCTGAAAAAACCACAGAAAAATGGTAAAAGGTATTTCAGTAATACAGGTATAAATCTTTTGTAGTTTGATATTTTCTTTATCAGCATAAAAACATATTATCTTGGTTACCTATTCAACTGTATTTTTGTAAAACACTGATTAGATTGGCAAGATCGAGGTTCAGACCCATAATAGTATAAAGAAACATTATATTATAATTTTTTGTTATTTGAAAACTGATTAACTGATAACGATTTGTGTGAAATTGTTTTCAACATTATACTAGTTTTTAGAATAACCACAATATTGCATTGTACATAGAAAAAATAATACATTTATTTAAATAAATTAAAAATGAAAAAATCTGTAAACTTGTATGTGCTAACCTCAATTCTCTTCTGATACTCTTCATCAGAAAGTTCATATTCCAAAACAAAATAATCTTGAGCTGTTCCAAAAATTTGTCCCCAAAATCTAAACAAAATTATACTATTACATTATAATGTACTGCAGCAAATAAAAAGTTGTTTTTTTTTACAGTTACCTGACAAAGCAAGCTTCCTTGATTATAGCATGCAAAGTAGCTAATTGCTGCATTTACTTAATTGCTGCATGAGTGTGGTAACTTGCCACACTCATTTTACTTTGCCGCACTCCAGTATTCCAACCAAAAAACACAAAACAGTGTTTTTATAAGGAACTTATATCCAAACGTGTTTTTACGTGTATGCTTGAAAATAAGTTGTCAACACTATCATTCTATTTTCGTTCAACGCTTGGATTTAACCTAACCTAAAACGTATTGTTTGGTTATTTTTTCTTTAGTGTTTGAAAGACCCATCAGGGTTTCCCCTGACTTCGTCCTGGCCAGGCATAGTTCACCATCTTTCGGATCCCAACGTGTACGCTCTGGGTGCAACTCCTCTCGCAATGAGAACGAGACGCCCCGGGAGTGTGGGACGCCACCACATGGGCTGCACGTGCATCAATTATTTATATGCTTTTTAGTAACTGTAGGGAGTAATGTGTAACATGAGCGCAAATAACTATTGATTCATTTTTGTCAACAGACTCCCTGCTTATTAAATGGGCCAACGCACACTGTGTCTGTCAGCTCACAGACACGACAGATTTGCTCGGTGACCGATTCTCCGCAAATGTCTGTCTGTGCCTGGACCCTCACTTTTCTACCTGTAGTCTGCCAATGGATGGATCCCCGGTGTGTGTTGGCCTTGTACAATGCAAAAGGTAAATCTGCTTTTCCTTACCAAATCCATAATTAAAAATCCTTGGCTATAATTCTTTACCAATAATACAAAATCATTCTACACATACATGCAGGAAGGTCAGTTTTCAGCCAAACACCAACCAAGCTATGCAAGGCAGGTTATCAGTCTCAGATAGTGTATTTCAAGCTACCTAAGGCAACATGCCTAAGGTAACCTGTCTGCCTACTGGCCTCGTGTAAACACTGCTTTGGAGATGGAAGGTTTGCTATTCTAGTCTGTGGAGTTAAGGAGGAGTTAACTGGACCAAGAAAGCATACGTAAGCCAATAGTAAGCATCTCTGCACATTAAAATCAGCTCAGATTAACTCTACCAACCTGTGTATTCACCAACCTGTAGGTTTATTTACAACAACACATTGATTCTTTGCAGAAAGATGTTAGCCCATCAGTAGAAGAGAGGAACATTAATTAGCATATTAGCTTTTGTGTTAGCTGTTTGCGTTACAAAAAAATTTAGCAAAGTAGGAAGGTCCAATGCAATGTGAAAAGCTCTAGATGGTTTTTTGCCAATATTTTGTGAAATATTAACATATGCTACTTAAAGCTTCAAAGTAAATGCTAACATTTTTCAAATAACTAACTTAGCATCACGACTATTTTGTCCTGTACTGTAACTCGCTGCTCATTACAGTACCAGTAGGCCCTACCACTCTTCCTAAAACTCAAATTACATTTACCCATGACCCTATCGCAAGGGGGGGGAGTTATTTAACAGTCACCCTACTTGTTTTTACTGTCTTGTTATACTTCCTGGACGACCCTTGAACTATTGCAACACGTAATAAGCTACAAACTTATTTGCAGCAAAAAAACATGTACAGTATCGCAAATAAAACCCATGAAAAGATTCTCACCTTGATTTTTCTAAATTGTTTTCTTCGGCAAGTTTTTTCAATGCAATATTAATATTGAAAATCTGAATATTTGGAATAGCTATGCCAGCCTCAAGGAAGTAAAATGCTGTTTCCTCCAAGTCAGTCTGTGTGGGAGGCTTTTTCTCTTCCATCTCCTCGGCCCCTGGCTCTTCCTCATCTTCTCTGACTCCATACGACTGTTAGGTGTAAGCAATTAACAAAAAACATTTAAAAAACGCTATATATGCTATTGTCAACAAGTATATTCTAAATATCTTACTTAATAAGTATCTTATTATGTCCCAGTAAAACTTTATCCATATATGTATTAGTATTGTTATATCTACCATATCACAAAACTGAAACAGGTTTCCTCGTCATATAAATGGTCTTATAAATATAACCAAAAACCTCTCAATCTCTACAACAAAACACAAGTATTGTGAAACTTCAAATGAATTCCATTTGTTTTTGCTTTGTGTTGTATACTGTTTTGGTTTAGGTACTGTAATTTGTAGAAAGAAAACAAATTACACACTTCAGTTAGTTTAGGTTGGTTTGGCTAATTAGTTTTAGATGTAGATTTTGGGTGGACTGAAAGTGGGAGGAGTTTCCTTATTATCTAAAACGTTCAAAACACTTAGCAATATGTAATGCCAATCCATCTTATATACCTATTTAAAAATTTTGGATTTTCTTTTCCAAATTCGTTTGGCTCTTCTACCCAAGCTATTTTCATGATTGAGGTCTCAAATTGAAGGTATGCACGCACAGATTTTCCATCGAGCATTGCCATATATTTATCTATAAACCCACTCGGCTTATACCACAGAAAACATACTACTATAACCCAGAATGCCAACCGCATGGTAAAAAGCATTAAGTGTTATGAGAGAGCTTTGCCTGTCAATCTGTAGGCAAAGCTCTCTCAAAACACTTAATGCTTTTTACCATGCGGTTGGCATTCTGGGATCCCACTCTGCTTATGTGTTAACAAAATTTGCTCCCCATGTATTTCTTATGGGAGTTAAATTTGGTTTTTGAGTGGACTTTCTAAGTTTTACAAACATGCAAAGACCGGTGAATTTCAGGATGTAGATTAAGCCACTTTAAAGTGGTTAAAGCAGTGCCGCGATAAAAATTTGTCAATCGGAGGCACTATTCTCCAAGAAAAGGCACAGCAGTTTGCTGTACAATTGGGACACCCTAATTTTCGTGCCAGTATTTTGGATGGCTAGAAAAAATTAAAAAAGGAACGATATTGTTTTTAAAAATGTGTGTGGTGAAAGTGCGTCTGTGGACAGTACAGTATGCGATATTGTATTGCGATGTTGTGTATTGTTCTTATATTGTACCACAAAGTTTGCTTTTCATTTATTCTGTACTGTACAGAATTTTGACTTCTGATTTGTTTTTAATCTATTATACAGTAGGCCTACATGGTTTTCCACAGTTTATTGTTTGTTTTGATACTTAAGTGACTTATACATAAACAAATATTTTTTATAATTGCTAAAACTATGTTTTTCTTCCCTAATCCTAAATTGAAAAAATAACTTTAGCACTGTAGGTTTAACAGTAACAATGATTCGTATTATAGAGGTTGGCCATAGACATCTTCGTTTTATAAAGGTTATCTTAGAGCGAGGAGAAACCTCTATAAGAAGAATAACAGCAGTATCAAACCTCGATAAAACTACCCTCTTTATTAAGAATACCTCGACCCCTTGAAATTTGTCTTATAGAGGTTCTACTGTACAATAGTTATTCGTGTTACTAGGGTGCAAATAAAATCCAATCAAATCGTTTATTTGCACATTAGATTTTTATATAATAACATGTAACAAATATCATGCATTGTCAATATTTACATAACTAAGACTAAAACATATAACATGGGAGTCTTAAACAACATAGTACCCTTGTATATACAAATACACATTAGAGGCTTAGAAATTCTGTGACAGAATAAAAAGCATTTGAAACTAGAAATTTTTTGAAGTGTCTCTTAAATAGGAGTAAAGAGTCTTTGGATCTTATTGCCAGAGGCAATTTGTTAAAAAATGTAATTCCCCTGTAAAACTTATTCCTCTCAAAGGCCGTAGTTCTGTGCCTCGGATAACTGAGACTGCCTCCATTTCTCGTCCGATGGTTATGGAAATCTCCTAGATGTAGAAATTGACCTCTGTTGTTAGTCCACTTGCTTCATCGTACTTGTCTCTATTCTTAATGATGGTTGCTAATAGTTGCTAACGTTGTTGGAGGGATGTTAAACTCCTTAGCGATGGTGATTTTCTTCTTCAACGGGTTTTCTTCCACATGCTTCAAAACTGTACGCTTAAACTCTACTGATAGTGCCGTTGTTGACTTTTTTCCTGTACACTCAAGGTACACTTAAGACACATATAACTCTAAAACAAGGGAAAACCCCAGCCAGAAAGTCACTGGACAGTTCACAGGCACGTGCCGAACAAAACAATGACTGAGGAAGGAGGAGGGATGGGTGGGGGTTTCATGTTGAAACAAGCTTCTGTTTGTTTTGAAAACTACGCCTACGCACTATGGAGGTTAAGACAATGAGAAATTCGTCTATAGAGGTCACGTTTGTCTTGTAGAGGTTTTGTTCTAAGAATATTCGTTGTAAAGAGGTTAATCAGTCCTAGCCCATGTCACAAACAAATTCGTCTTATGGAGGTTTTTAACTTAATTACTATGATGTATAGAGGTGTTTTTAGCATTGACCTACCAATATGAATGATTCAAGGGGATTTTTAAAAATTTGTCTTATCGAGGAATTTGTTTTACCGAGGTTCGTACTAACGAGGTAGGACTGAATAGTGATTTTACAGTGTTGTTAACAATTTACAATACTACAATATGCTGACATTACAATGTTACTTACATTTAAAAGTGAAATATTATTTTTAGCTTTTTCTAAATGTGGTAGAGGAACATAAATATCCTTCAGCAAGTCCACGTTCAAAAGTTGTTCTTCTTTTACCTTTCTGCTGTATTCCTCAAAATAGTCAATCACATTTTCAGGTTTTTCCGAAATTAGTTTATTCAAAACATTTGTTAAATGAGACCATCTGAAAAGAGGTTCTAAGTATTAGGTCTACATGATCAAAATGTTACCTAAAGTAAGATAGGCAGTTTTACACTACAAATGGTTCCCTAAAGCCCCTGCCACACGGAGGTGGTTCTTTCCCCACTTAACAATCCAGCTAGAACCAGCAGAAAACCCAGCATCGTATGACTGATCTTCCAGCGGCTACAAACACTCGCATGAGCTAGAGCTGGTACCTCTAGCCTCTGAAGGGTTTAAACAGATTTAAATTAAATACATTTTGGGAAGTAAATATAATATAAAATGATATTTTCCCCTTAAAATTATACAGTTATAGTTCGGCCGCTTAGAAAACGACCTGCACGCTAATGCTAAACCAATGCTGGAGGAGGTCGCTTTCTAAGCGGCCGAATTATAGTAGGTGTTTTCTTGTTGTTAGGTAGAGCTGTGGACCCGTCCTCATACCTGCACATGGGATCACGCTTCCCAATACATTTGCTTGGGTGCAGGTGCGAAGGCTTGGTTCAGATGGTAGCAGAGCGTGGTTCACTGGTATCGTCAGAACATGGACAGCTCAATGAGCCGCATAATGTGAAGCATAACGTTGAGGAAAACTTTTTGCTTAAATTCAAGCAATTGTAGTTTTTACGCGTTAGAGCTATTTAAAAACTTGTTAGAGAAACTAATTCAGGCTAGAATATCTTTATTTGTGTCGTCAAGGTTCACCTACATTATTCCTACTCTCAGTTTTAACTGATTACTTCTAATGAATGCTAAACCCTTTGCTTCGATTCGAGTCAACATGTTGCAACAAAGTTTTATCAGCATTAAGAATTGAAAGAAAAAAAACTACCGGTATTGCCTTACTGATAATCTGTGAAAAGTAATTTAAGTTGGGTCATTTTATTTCTTTTATTTTAGACATCCCCTAAACTAACAAATTTTCTCCGTATAGGAGCCCTGAAAAGTAGGATGATATCAACCATTTCATGTGCTCCATTTTTTTACCCAAAAACTCCGGGTTATACCATAGACCAAAAGAATTAAATAACTTATAGTCTGTCAGCCGTGCTGTGTTTACCATGGTTACCATAGTTTCTGGCGTAGACCGCTGGAAGCACCATGCAGTTACGTAGCACATATGCCGTAACTACATGATGGCGCTCCCAGGTGTGTGCGCCAGATCCTATGGTAACCGCAGCACAGCTGACAGTCTATATTTAATTCTTTTTGTCTATGGTTATACCAACTGGACAGCCATAATAATCGGCTTTGAATAGGCTAAATCAGCAACACCATTGAAAGTTGGTAAACTTATTTTAACGTGTTGTCTGTCAGTAAGAGTATATGCCCCGCATCAGAACATGATCACGGTGTTCAGTGGAGTTTCTCTTAATACCCGTCCCAAAGTTTTGACAGTATGGATTTATTTGTCGAAATAGAATAGATAACTCTTGTAGCTACAAGATTTGGATGACAATTTTCATTTTCTCTATTTGAACATTGTATATTAATTGTCTCTTCTGAATCATGAAAATAAACTTTAGCATTAGCAACTCGACCGTTGAATACATAGGCTAAACATTATTCCTTCTCTTTATGTTTGGTCTAATATTGAATATGCCTACTTTTATATAACTGCAGAATAACTTTGTCTCAAATATTAAAGTTAATAAGTTAATGTAAGCTAAAATAAAACTTAAATCTTAAATATTCTAAAAACTTACACTGATGAATTGTGGGCTCCTTGTGTTTGAAGATACAACTTAGTTAATCTTATATCATTATCAATATTAGGAATCCCACTTGTAAATTTTGAAGCAACTGAAATGCTCTTATTTGTAGCGTCTGACTTTCTATTTATTTCTGAATGTCTAGACCTTAAATCACTTTTCAAACTCACATTCCGATCACTTTTTGAGCCCTGACTTGTACTCCAATCCTTCACATTTCTCTGAAAACCTTTGACGCTTGGCTTTACATCTAGTTTCGAAACAAGTCTATGATTTTCATCTTCTTTGATATTGTTTCCAACTAAACTTTGGTTTGACATGTTTTCTAGAGTGAATGCCAGGCTTTGTTAAGTACTAGGTGTAATTTGAACATTTACTCATTCAGAAAGTGATGTGATTATCAAAGTTACACTGGTTCAGATTTTATACAGTTGAGGGGTAACTCCACAGCCAAGAAAAAGCAAATATCTTCCTCACCTTGGTGAATATTTTTGTTAGGTATTGGAAGATAAAACGACAGGATGAATGTATCAACAATTAATTATGTTGAACTTACCTATGTAACTTATGTTTGTTAGTAAACACATTATTATTTCTGTGAACATGTGGAAGAAGTGTAGTAAACAGTAGTAAATAGTTTTCAGCCATATGTATTTAATAACAGTTAAATTTTGTCTAGTTATATTACAAATAGACAAGATTATTCTTACAGTACACATTGTATAGGTAATTTGTAAGATGGTTTATAACGAATTATTGATGATATGCTTGCTTAATGACTTTGGCCAAAAAAATAGTATATGATCACATCTATGACTGAGCATAATTTTGCACTTGCTCAGAGGCACTAAGGTTTTGGTGTACCCTAAATAAAAATTTGTCTTGGAGCAATTTTCTCAGATGAAAAGGGCAAAACTGTCATGAGAACATGGAAAACAATACTTAATCATCATAGGCATAGTTACCCCACAAAGATTTAGACAAGTTTTTTTTCACCAAATTATCAAAAAGAAATTTGTTTATCAAAAATAAAGTTCAACATTTAATAAAGGATGGATAATTGCATTAATTTATGTAGTAAATTAATTAATATAGGAGAATGACTGTTCCCTCCATGACTTATTATTGCTTTAAATACAAGTGAAGTCATTGTGGGAAGCGCAGCACCCTATAGCCGAAGGATAATCGGATTTATAGATGACTGTAATTAGGTTTCATTGTTTATTTGGTGTTATGAATGAAATGGGATTTCATAAATTACATTTACTGGTATATATATATATATTCTGAAAATATTAGTCTGATTTTCTATTGATAATATAATGTTTTTTTACGAAGATTGTGAAATATTTACTTAAATATTTTCTTTTTTTAGCAAATTTCCCATGTATAGGGAATATTTAGGAAATTTCCCATATAGGGAATAAGCTATTACCGTAGTACTCATGCTGAGACCTGGACCCAGGACCAATTTACTTTTTCGTTTTGAGGTCTCTAGAGGCCAAAAACACATGAAATGAAATGAAAATGAAATGAAATGAAATGAAATGAAAAAAATGAAATGAAAAATACTTTATTCCATCAAAAAACACAAACACAATTGTTACATAGCGTTGTACAGATGGATTATTCCCCACATAGGCACAGCCTGTGTGTGGGGAATGAGCTTTACCAGTAGTCAAACATACAATGATACAATTAAATAGAAAAATGAATTAATAACTAAAATTATTATTTTACAAACTTTTGGAATAAGGAGAAAGATTGCACATTGAGCTAACACAAATGAAATTTTAAAAACTATTGGAACCACAAGAGGAAGTAAAGACGAAAACAAAACTACACATACGTAACAACCGCGTACGTATCAACTGAGACTCGGAAACCACACACACACATACGCAGACGTACACACACAGACAGACAGCAACACACACCCAACAGACAACACACTTCAGCTCAGTTGCACCAGGACATCAGGCGGCTGCTGGCCCCACAGTTCCATTAGTTAGGCCATCTCTGCTCTGTCCCTGCATGTCCATTCACTCGCTCCCTCTCACTCACACTCACAGTCACACGCACGCACATCCACACACAAACACCACAGCCAGACGGTCATTCATCGATATATTTGACTGTGACGGCTTTAAAAGGAATACATGGATACAAACAAGCTGTCGATATGCCCGCGTCCGATTTCCACCAACCATTTATTTACGAGTTTTTTATATTTTAGCAGACTGCACGGCTCCGGATTTTTTAGCTGAGTGGGTAATTTTGAAAAAATGACTGTTGCAATGTATTGGGGGGACGTTTTATTAATACTTTTAGTGATCTTAGGTAACTCTATCCCGGTGTTCAAAGCAAATCTTGTAGGATAGTTGTGAGAAGTTTGTTTAAAAAGAGAATTTTTGTTTTTGAAAATGTATATGATTAATGATCTTACATAAAGCTGTGCAAGATTTGAAACTTTGAACTCGTCAAAGACATATTCTGAGGGGTAGCGGCGAGGTTTTCGTAGAGCAATTTTTATAATGGCTTTTTGAATAATTTCGATAGGGGCCAGAATACTTTTATAGCCACCACCCCACGCTAGATTCCCAAATTGTAGAATAGACTGTATGTATGCATGGTAAATGTTTTTTAGAAGATCAAGAGGTAAAATTTTGGATATATTAGAAAAAACAAAAATGAATTTACGTAGTTTACATCTAATTTGATTTATGTGACTAGTCCATTTCAGCCGGCTATCAAACATCACCCCTAAATACTTAAACTCATTCACACATTCAATACTTTCACACTTGTCACATTCAATCTCGGCACCACAACTATGTAATTTTAAATCTAAATCTAAAGGATCGTAATCAGATCTTAGTGAAATCGGCATGTATTTTGTTTTTGATAAGTTTACAGTTAGCTTATTCTGGTCGAACCATATCGCTTGACAGTGAGAAGGCCGCGCTCGGCGCTGCTGTACACCTCCGGCCAGCTGTCGCCCTCGAACAAGAGCGCCGTGTCGTCGGCGTACAGAAAGATCTGCCCTTTGTTTAAGTTAATTTTGCCCAGGTTATTTATGTATATTAAAAATAACAGAGGCCCCAAGGTCGAACCCTGGATAACTCCATAATCAATTCTTTTTTGCGAACTGTTTTGGTTTAAAATCGAGACAATTTGGAAACGTTCAGCTAGATAATCTTCAAACCATTTTAAAGTGACACTTCTCACCCCTATACATTTCAACTTATTAAGAAGTAATCGTCTGTCAACGGTGTCAAAGGCTTTAGCTAAACCTATAAAGACAATCAAGGGTTTTTTGTTTTTACTAATAGAATCATGCAGACTATTAGTTAAAGAAAAAGGTCATCATTTAAATTTTTGTCCTTACGGAAACCAAACTGTTTATCAAAAAGTAATTGAAAATTTGTTAAGTAGTTTTCGATGTTTTCTAACACACTTTTCAATAAGTTTAGCGAGTACACTGGCCAAAGTAATTGGACGATAGTTGATCAATTGATTTTTTTCACCATTCTTAAATATAGGAACTACTTTACCAACTTTTAAAATTTTTGGAAATGTGCCCTGCGAAAAACTGGTATTAATGATATGTAAAAGTGGATATTTCAATTCTTCAAAGTTATTTTTGATAAGTTTTGACGGAATGTTATCAGCCCCAGGAGCAGACCCCCCTCTCATACCCCGAACGACAGTTGACAGCTCCGCCTCACCCACGGGCGACAGCTGGGTAGTGGTATCCGTCTGGAAATCGTCATCGTTGATTACCGGCCCCAGAACCTGAGGGACAGCACGAGCTAGGTTGGCACCTACATCTACGTAGTAGTCATTAAACGCATCAGCAATTTTTTTTATTGAGTCCTCTTCTAAAGTTTGGTTATCTGGTATAAAATGTTTTACAGGAAAATCGTCCTTTTTTTTATTAAGTCCCATAATTTCTGTCATGTTTTTCCAAAGGCGACGTTTGTTATTTAATGAGTCGGATATTTGATCCTTATAGTATTTTTCTTTTGCACTTTTGATTGCAGTATTCAAAGTGTTCCTATAGTTTATGTAATGTAATCTAAGTGCCGGGTTGAAAGGTTGTTTTTTCAACTGTTTACTGATTTTATCCCTAACACGAATAGAATTAACAAGTCCAACAGTGATCCATGGTTTTAATTTGGTTTTTTTGGCAGAAAAACTGTTATTTGAAGTAGCCGCACTTGTGATCTCCTGCAACTGTCGCACAAACTCCTCGCAGGCCACATCGACGTCCTCAGTAGCGAGTACCGAGGACCAGTCATGTGACCGCAACAATCGCTGGGCGACCTCTGAGTCGACACAAGTAAAGCTTTTGTTGGAATATCTGTTTGTTACCTTATAATGATTATAGTCAGCCGATGCAACAGTTATAAAATGGTCGGTTATTGAAGTGTGTATTATTGCTGACTTAACTGTATTTACATGTTTTATGTTGGTAAAAATGTGGTCAATGCAGGTCTTGGAATCAGCTGTAACTCGAGTTGGGCTATTAATGCATGGTGTAAAGCCTGCCGTATAAAGAACGTCAAGATATCTCTGGGACAAAATATTTTCATTGTTAGGCAGAATGCAACAATTGAGGTCACCAACCAGCCAGCACCGCCCGCAAAGGGACCGATCATCCAGATAACTCTCCAGATCGTCGATAAAAGGTTCAAGGTCAGACGACGGGCTCCTATAAACAGCCAACAACGACAGCCCCCCACCGCCAAGCGATATGTCTAATTTGATAGTTGTGGCACCATACAATCGCACTTCCTCACAACTCACAGCAAAGCATTTATTCACATACACGATCACACCATCATTCTGATTCCTTCTAGCCTTACTTACAAACACATCATATCCATCCATACTTACAGGCACACAACTTTCATCCGTCCAAGTCTCAGTTAAAACTATAATATCAAATTTTTTATCATAATTATTTAAAAGAACAGTTAACTCATCAAAATTCCTATTGTAGCTCCCTAATATTCAGATTAAGAAATAACACACTATTTTGTACATTACAATCCACCTCCTCGAAAAAATTAAAGTTGTTGAAATTATTATAAATAAACTCATTTACTTCTAAAAAATTTTCAACATTTTCTAGCTCCTCGCTTTGCATCTTACAGCGAAAAAAGTAAAAATATTCTGAAAAAACCCCTACCTGCCCGATTTACAAGGAAGATGGTATAAAATCAATAACTAATCGTCTTAAACTTATTATTAATGAAACATTACTAGCAACAGACTAAACTAAATGACAACAAACTATCTAACACTGTATGAAGAGCGATCAGAATGCGCTTCGGACCGGTTTTATTTTAACTGAACATAAATACGTATCTTACTTTTGAATTGGCTTTTTAACAGATAATTGATTTAATTCTTGAAACAAAAAGATTTTTTTAAGAATCTATGGGATCTATGTTGTGAAACAAAAATAAAATGTTAATCCTCAATTTATCATTTAAAATGTCAGATAAGAAAAAAAAGATTGTAGACAAAAATATATATTTAAAAATATTTAAGTAAAGTAAA